ATAGGATGCATTTCTACCGTGCATGAATCATTCATAAATGCACAAATATAGATACACCTTAATTCAATAAATTAGTAGAGATGAGTATATCGATTATCGTAAGGATTCGTCAGCTATGACATCCATTAATACTATGCTAAGAAACCCATGATAATCAAATAATATTATTCACAAAAGTACAGGATCCTTTCCCAGATTAAATAAACAATCTCATCGTTAACATAAGCGATCTTTTGATCTAAGCGCCCAGTATTAAGATTTTTGAGAACGTAATGTTCTATCTACACTATAAATAACTCACTAACAGCAAATAACAGCATAACGTCAAACTGATGAAATGGATCCTCTTTCCATTTCTCTGAAATATAGCATTACCGTGAAGTCACTATTATTTAAATCAAGATCAACCTTTCGATCGCTAACACTTAAAATTAAACCTAAATCCATGACAATGCAAAACAATGAATTCAATATATGCCATATAGCATAAGGCAAATAGTTCCATTACAGATAATATTTCTTACGAAGAGATAAAGTCTAGAATTATTTGTCAAATGTAATATTAAGGTTCCAGGAATAATTTAATTAAAATATCCATCAGCATACATCTTCATCCCATATCCATGATTAGAATTGTTAACGTTGCGATGCCAAATTACTAGTGATACAAGAATTTATGAAAATTATTATAAATCTAAGACAACACCTGCTAGAGATTTCTAAACGAATAAGCGTCGTATTTTCAATATTCAGCCTTATACTTAGATATTTTCGAAATGATTTTAAGCCAGATTCTGTTAGTTGACACTCTAATTTTGAATAAACATGCATATTAAAAGAACCTAGAAATCATTGCCATCGCTCCAACTTGAACTATAACACATACGTCAGACCTCTTACATTAAGTTAAATTAGTACCGTAAAGTTAACTATCGGCTGTATTCAATAGTTATGGGATAAATTAAACTAATATTAAATTAACGATAGCAATAATATTGAGCTCCGGAAATATTACGTGCAGAAAATTACACAATGTCTCCGGTATACTGTATGGCCGTATCGATCGAAGTCAATTTCATAAAGTCTGTCTCAACTCCACTTGTCATTAGACCATTAACAGGAATGAATGTAAGAGGCTTCAATAAAGGAACGTTCAACAAAGCATTTAATAATTGCATTAAAATGCAATTCAATAGTGTGCATTTAAAGACACCGGTGATAGACTACAGCTAGCATTATCTAGTGGGTGCATGCAGATATTATATTTGTCGTTACCTTTTCATGCTATAGTATTTTATTTGAAAGGCATCATAGGTTAAAATTAAAATGTAGTGTATCAATTAATCCACAATTTTTTACTCCATTATTAAGTTGATAGTCTGGATAAAAGGAAAAGTTTTTTCTGCAAGTTGTCTTCAATCATATTACTCGCCTGAGCGTGGCGTAGATTCACTGCCTCTTAGATTAACTACAACTAAGAAATGCGTACGGATTTTCAAGTCCTTACCTTCAACAATATAGTCTATGACTCAGTCAGTCATTTGCCTTCTAAAATATTATAAAGGTTTATGCCGTCTTAATAGATTACATTTAATTACAGTTATGATGATTAGCTTGACTAAAAGCACTACCTAAAGCTACTACTATCCTGTAAGAAAATCCAGGCGAAATATATGTCCATACCCTACAATTAGAGATATGACTTTGATAATGATTTATTAGCTACAATTAACACTCTTATTTCATCATAAACTCGGGTTAACGCCGACACTAATTCAATCCATTTTATGTTAAAATAATAGTCACTATATCGCACAACAAATTATATAGGTTATCAGCTGCTACCTGCACATAATAATTCAAATTTAGCGCATTACTTCGCTAATATTCATTGCGATATATGGATTTAGTTACTTTTAGGAAGAAGATATACTATTGTACGTACATTATTAATAGGAGCTTGTTATTACTACTAACAGATTAAATTTAATTGTAACCGCATATTACTCAATCTAAAAGCAGTCTTTGTTTTAGGATTAAGCCATTGGTTTAAATTTCACGGACAAGTTACAAGACAAGAAAAACTATTAAAGCCTAGATTCTTGATGATTTATTAAAGCATGATCCTATTCGGATATAGTAAGCAAACTTTTGAATATTGAGAATAAAACTTTATCAGATTACATACCAATGCCACTCAATTTTTCATCATTAGATTCAGTAGATAATAGAAAAAGCTTCTTACCTTATCTAGTTAAACTATCATCTTGCAATATATAAAGTAATTTATAAATCAGCATCAATAAAGTACGTTAAGACATTAAGATTTTATAAATCTATTGATTCAATTTTATTATCATCACATTAACGTCATTACGATATTGTTATTATTGCTGTCTATAAATTATATTAATTGATCTGTCTTGTTATCAATGATAAATAATGCTACCTTTCAAATAAATTATAAGGTATCACAGGGTACATAAAAATAGCTGAGTACAATAAGTTACTGATCAGTTAATATGATGAGTAAATGCTAGGTGGCAAAATAAAGGAAATATTGATTAAGGCGTGTACAATTTAGTTTAAAGATAAAATAGCATAACTCGAGACTGCTAATCCTCCCTGCAGTCAGGAAAATAGCATTGACTAGCCAATACTAATTGCTATTTTAATAGAACTACACCTATGGCGAGAAGAATGTTTCAAAAGACATGGCGTGCTGTGATGCCGCAGACTGAGTGATAGGAGTGAGTAAATTGGTTTATTTCATCATATAGCAGTAATTTCTAATCAAATTTTTTAATAGAGACATCATTCTAGACGCTTTGATGCTGATCGGCGTATTATTATTATTTCTCTCAGCTCTATCATATCGAGCCATTAAGGCTGATATTGATGACAAGTTGATATTATGTGGCCATCGATAACAAATGGTGAACAGTACTGCAATATCGACTAACTTTTCCAGGAAATATCAAGTACATAGTCAATCCAGTACGACTGTTTCTAACTTGTAATATTCGAATTAATATATTCCTTTCAGGTAAATATCTATCGTTAGTCTAGCAATACACGATCGTGATCGCTACTGATCAAACCTGACACAAGTCAAACATACTATGACGTTTGCAAAAGAAAGATCTCTCTGTAGCCTGAAACCAACTGTTTGAAAAGTAGAAGCGGCATTATCTAACAAATTCTATGTAAAGCAATAAAGTTGTTAGCACCATAGTTAAGGGGTGGAAACAACCTCTTCAAATATATTATATTATCAGAACTATAAATCCTTGTCACAGTAATCAACAATTATATCTTTGTTTTCAATGTCTTCTACTCACACTTTCTTATCCTTCATCTATCAAGTTTCCTTCTTAATCATCCTTGTCTTCATACAAAATTTTCCAATGCCGTGATGATGTCATAGACGTATAACAGTAATTAAAATGAGCTCCTCATAGCCGACAATAAGATACGTCCTAGCAGGGAAATTTTCGATCATATGATCGGTCCATTTCAATTGTTGAATGACGAATGGATTTTAGTGCACCTTGTAAAGAAAAAGAAAACTTTAGATTGTCGATATTTAATTAAAAAGTAAGAAGTAATTCCAACACCGACAATTTCCGTTGCGATACGATTATCGCATAGAACGCCATAAGTTTATTCTCTCTTTTCACAACTACTACTCATTTTTTTAAGTAATCTATTCATTAGATAAAAAAAATTACTATACTCACGTAGCGGTATCAGCTAATACAAGAAACAAAGTAATATTAAACAAAAAAAATTTAATTTATAGCAATAAAAAGTTGCGTATCTAGATCTAATCACAGCGGTTTTTATTTTCTTCAAAGCTCTTGTCTTTCATGCACTGTTCAATAAAAATCATTCAATTCCTTTTACATCTATCCTATCGGCTGAAATTGAGACCAAAATAAAATTACTCATTAACGACTTCATCAAGACATCGTCGTTTCAACTTGTAGGCTGTAATACGTCAATTTTCTATCCAAAGCCACGAAAATGACATTATCACGCTAAAGCTGATAGCTTCTATTATGACTTCTAACCGTTATCCGTTTAATAGTACTGTATTTACACATCTAGATCACTAAGCTACAATAGCAATAAATGATATTGACATAGTAGTGGAGATCCTTGTACACTTTGTCGGTTAGTGCAAAGTAATGAAATTATTATTGACTTTAAGGATTAGCCCAGCCAAAAACAATAACAACAATAATAATTATTGATCATCAATATGATGATCATGACTAACTACTGAATATGGCAAAAATTACCGTATAAAATTTGCATATTCGACATCGCTTCCGTTACTATGTGGCTTGAAACCAACTTGAAACATAGTCATCATACTAGCATTTAGTATTGTTATTTGCAAACAAATTGATGTGATGATGATGATGATGATAATACGAAACAATTTTGATGATCAACATAAATTCAATTGAATCAAGATGAAATAATAACGCTAGACTGATGTTATCTTGAAAAGAAGGTAATGATTGTAATTAACGAGCATCTAATTAAATCGGCTTAGCAACCTTGTGAAGACTTTCCTTCGGCCCACATGGATGTAGGAGGATTTTTTTAATTTTTATTTCATCAATCAATATCATTCACTTAATCGGTTATTTTTTAATTGAACTTTTTTATTTATCTGTACTGTACAACCTTGTCAAGATAGATTAACAAGTCAATTGTCAACTAAGGGATTAAATAGCACCAGTTGTTTAAAAGCGATTCTATTGATGAAATAACAAGATTGAAAATATAGAAAGAACTTAAAGCGTAGTGTTCATAACTTTCCGACTATTGTTCATTATTTATTTATTAACAATTGATAAAACATCAGAGGTATTTGCATAATTGATTGAAGTTTTGAAGAGTACCCCTATAGGGCAACACTATATATCGTCCCCAACCAATCAATTACATCAGTTTTCAAATCTCTGTCCTGTCTCAAGGTCTCAAAAATGGTAGTTGCAAAGCGAGAAAAAGTTAAGAATAATAAGAAATCCAATGCCAAATGCCATCGCCTTGGCCAATCTTGCCCAACTTTAACGGAAAAGCCTAAGGATGAAAAAAATTTTCAAACTGATTTTAGCAAAGAACCTATTGCTAACAAATTTACAGCACCAACAACGATGCCATTTTCCGTCGATCGTATTTTAGGTTTTGCCAATTCGACAGTAGCACCAATGGCTATAGATCCTAATTATGCTTATTACCGTAATAGCTATAACCCCAATGACTTTCGTTATACTTATCCAGCACCTTATTTTGGTCTTGGACGACTAGACTGGTTGCAAACAAATCCTCATTTTACTCCAGTAACCGTTAAAAATGACAATTCTAATGAAGACGGACAAAAAAGTAAGTTTAACTACACCAGGCTCTTTTCTTCTAGGCACCGATAACCTTTTCTATTACTATCAACTCTTTAGTTACATTACGATAATTTAATGATATTATCGGCATTTCCTTTCAATCGAATATATGACATATATTAAAGCAGTAAAAAATCGATTTAATGAAGGCTCTAATACATAGTTCGTTACTTAAACATTTAGTAAAAGCATTCACATCATATCGTTTGGTTAGCTCATACTAAAACTATACGTTAATTGACTAGAAAACAAACATTATCGCAATCATAAATGAATAATCCTATCATAGAAAAGGTGGTAATGTAATAGTCCCGAAAGATTTAGTCCAAAGGGCTCCATAACAATTTATCAGATTAGTAGTGCATTATTCAAGGCTACTGCAATATAGGATATCATTCAGCTACATTCAATAAAATCAATCCATTCACCGAATAAAAGAGGGATATACGGTGTTATTAAATGTATGGCATACCAAAATTATAGCTTTTATTTTAATTTCTATATTGGTACGTGAATAGCTTTACATATTAAAAGCTGTCTGGCAATTCGGCGACAATTTTAGATAACTGCTGTATTGACAGATAAAAGAAATTTGTACTTGAGCTCTTCTTGATCATAATTTGATCCTGCTGAGGTCTCTAAAAGGTTTTTGTTACTCAATAATGTTATTACATAACTATTAATAGGGATCTATAGCAATTATTGGCGTGTCGCTATAGACATAACGTCTAAAGCAAGATCTCAATGCTATCATACACGTCTAGCTTTGCCCCCATATTTAATGGAACAATGTATTCAGAGTCTGTCAAAGCTATTATACACATAAGATAGAATATGTTTTGCAGTACCCCCCATTGTCTTAAATTATCATATAATAAAATAATCCAAAGCTAACGCAAAAGCATGTTCGGACTTTTATAAGAATCTATTTGATCTTAAAGATACGTACCAAAGTCCTGCCACTAATCATCTTTGTCTATAACTAATCACTGTAAGACTCATATCCTTATGGAAGCGGCTTTAACTTTTGATTTCTTTCCAACCAGAAATATTTTCATTACATTGATATAAATACTTTCATTATGAAATAAACACAATACTGTATACTTCATTCTGTATGATATCAAACGCATAATCTATCCAACACATATATTTATTTACGCATAAAAGATTATGCTATTGCTACATCAAGTTATTTTTATTAGTTAATTACTTACTTAGATACAGTATATGTTCCAATTCCTAAGTACCCAAATAATAGTGCTAACTGAAAGTTAAAATTAATCATACCATATTTCAAATATTTGCAATCTCTGTACAATATCATCAGATAACCCTTATTAGTATTACTTTTTGGCGGAATTTAAGCTAGCTCACCAACGCTTACCGTCCAAGAAAATAGTTTCTAGTTGAATATTGAATATATAAAATGATTGATCAAGAAATACAGTTCTCATCACTAATTTAATGGGTTATAAATACTGCAATAGATTTTAATCTAACTGAATATTTTGCTTAGTTATCACTTAGCCATTAATGTAACAAAGAAACTGAACAGCCTAAATTGATTTGTTTACTAACGATGCCTCTTCTTCCTATTAACTCTTTATTTTCTACCTTGATTAAAATCATATAGACTGCACTCAAAAGAAGAGAAGAATTAGTCGCTGTCCACGCATTCCATTTTCAAAGGATCAGTTAAATTTAATGGAAGATGTTTTTCAACAACAACAATACCTATCACCTCGCGATATTGAAAATCTTTGTAGGAAATTAGATTTAAAGGAACATCGTGTTAAAAATTGGTTTCAGGTTAGTCTTGTCATAATAGATCCAGGTGCAGAGCAAACATAGTTAAATCTAGTAAAGTCAATTTTAATTTAAAGTAAATGAATATTAATTTCTTTTACCATAGTTTTTGCCGTAATTAAAAATGGTAGTCATCATGTTATACGTTTATATGAATTATAGAATCGACCTGATAAAATTTTAATAATTATCTATAGAATCGTCGAGCTCGAGAAAAAAGAGCAAGAACCTCTAGCAGTATTACTGTCTTAACAAATCAATATGAAACTTCGCCAGATAGCAAGAAGAATGTGAATAGCAATGAAACAGTAACTCCTACAGCTAATCCAATGTATTTAACTTATACTCCTAATTCACCATCGAAAAACGCCCTTCAAGATAATCGATGGTTAGTTACCATACCAGAAAAAATTCAAAATATTGATCAGCATAAAGATTAAAGAAAATTAACCTTTTTTGTAGCTGAAACTTGGGGACAAGGTGAACACAGTGTCTTCATTTCACTTAGCTCATTTTGAACTAAAACAGCCCTATTTTACTGAAAATTGGACATTGCTTCAATGAAAAATGAAACGCAATCGTTTAGAACTATCCTTACTAATCACTTTGTTCATCACAAGCCCATCGATCATTTATGGTGCTGATGTTGGTTAGATTTGTACTTTAGCATATTTCATCATAACTTACTCTTGTTGTATTGATAAATGTAAGCATAATGTAACTACTTTTGACCAAATAATCTTGTTTGCGAATGATAGATGGATGGTATATTGTTGATTTGGTAATGGTTTATAATTTGAAGAGATTAATTATGATGCAACTATCCAATTATTTTGCTAGAACAAGATTATTCATTATTGGTTTTGAAGTAGACTATGTTGCAAAACATTGGCTATAATGATATTGTGTAGTTTTCAACAAGGAAATTTCAACTATTCGGTAGAATACCGTACTATTTTAACTACTCTAACCCTTTATCAATACTGTGTATTGATTGTTTTTCGGTCCTAATGGACTGACTACCAATCCATTTTAAATGGTGTAAGGTGGCACTAATGTAAATGACTTTCATGCTTATTTATAAATCCTGCTCTGACTTTGAAATAATAATGTTACCATTAATTAAAGCATGACAGCTATTAATAAAATAAAAATTCTATAATTATAGATAAATAGAAATGAATTTCAATTTTACTCGATATTTCTCCTCTTAATTACAGGCCATTAAGCATGTAGCCGACTAAGATATTGATGCTCATATTGCGCAATCACCCTTTTTACGTCGAAAAATTATATTTTCCTTATTTGCAGATATTGTTTTTAAGTCAGGAATTAGAATTTCGGCGCAGAAAGTTCCTACCACAAAACATCTTTGCTAATAATTCACAACCATTCCAAAATCTTCTATCGCTTGACGATATCGTTAGCAATGTCATTAAGCAATACGTGATACAAAAATTGATCATTAAGTGTTCCATTCAAAAAGACTATGATGATAGCAAGAATATAGAATTTCTATTCCATCACATAAAAAAATTAACCATAAAGTATTCAATTCTAATAAACTTTGATGATAGCACTAATACAACATTGCTCTTTCACCTCATGTATCAATGACATATACTGTATAGAATTTTTGTAATGCTTTTGATATATTTATGTCAATAATCAAAGGGAGCAAAGTCTTTATCAACACTTAGGGTTCAATAATATCAACTTTTTTCACCAAAACATCAAACCGATATGAAGTTTGCTTATTGCTCACTAAAATCGATCCACCGGAGTATATTAATGTCATTTTATTGAAGATCACAATTAAGTATAAATACGTTGTATCGATCGTTATACAGCAGATAGCTCATCATTAGAGTTATAGATAGCAAAACCAATTCATTTTCCAGTAAGGGCAAGTAACTTAGTTAAATAAGTAATTCATAAGAAAGCTCAAAGGTCAGATCATGTTCTGATAATGACCGATCTCGTGTTCTACACGCGCTCTTAAGTATTCTAAAAAGAAGTAAAAATTTAGGTCTAAAGATATACGATAGAAATATTGTATATTAGTATTAATTTTCATGTATGTATACTCTGTAGCTGCTCGTAAATATAGATAGAAGGTATAAAGGCGAGTTACTTTTATAATAGAAAGAGTTCATAAATTTATCATCAACGCATAAGGATGAGGCTATATTGGTTATGTCACAAATCTTAAGGAATAAGTTTCTAGTTATCACGGAAAGCTGGTCTTGATAATAATTCGAGATAGAAGAAAACCCAGAAATATTTCAGGTATATATTTGTCACAAGAATACAAATGCATTTTGGCGACAGTTAAGCACTTATCAATTTTCTCGATCACAATATTGTAGGATATTATATTAGTGGCATTTAAGGCCGTATTACCGGCTTGGGCCGTGATATAAGAATTAATCAGTGAGAAATATTACCTAAAATAAATATATGACAAGTTAATCATAATTGTTGATTGCTTACAGCTAAACATCAAACCAGGAATGAAGCTGATTAGCAAGAAATAGTATCAGAATCGAAAACAATCAGTGATGATCATTCCCATGCTATTATCACGTATACAATCAAATCTATAATACATTATGCCACAATGTGCGTTATTTCCTCTATCATAAATAATAAATTGTTTTTTTTAATTCTTAATAGCTCCTCTACATATAAAGGGTATACTACTCTTCGGCTGAATACTATTCCATTTATTAGCGATATCTTCTGCACAATACTTTTATGCAATATTTCCTTAGACGTCATGAAAGAATTGTACAATCTTCCACAATTAATGCATTATTACTCCTAAGTAATTCGTATTACGTCATAAGAAATTATTCATTTCTCGATTTACGTACAATGAGTGTTCGATATACGTCATTATAATTTGCATTTTCCGGTTCATAATTATATAATAAGCCTTAACATGCGTCACTAACAACTTTCTATCTGAATTCAGAATTAACCTTAAAAATTTACTTATGAAAGTTTAATTTTTTGTATTTGTGCTGATATACCGTGAATGCGTTTACATGCGTATATAAGACTTTTAATTTTCATTGCTTATCCTTTCTTCTCTAGCATGATAAAAATTTTGACCCAAATTGTAATGAATCTCATCTAATATGTGCGGTGACGATGGTTTTAAATGGTCTAATTAATAAAATAAAGCAACATTTCAGAACATAATGGCATAATCCAATTACTACACAGTATGTAATTGAATACCTATATGCAAAACAATCACTATAGCAAGAAATTACAGTATTGTCTGATGATCTATTTTCTGGATTCTTTTTTTATAGTGATTGTTCATTTTTCTCCATTCCTTATAGAGAATGTTGATAATTGTAACCTACAGTATACTAGTATATTCCAAGATTCCACAGGATACAAGGTGTCATAAAATGCCATACGATAATATTTGTTGATTATACTAATTTAGGTTTACGATATATCAAGCAAGAGTAATAATATAATCATAGTAAAGAAAAAACTGCAAGCTGGCATAAGTCGAGAATCTTAAATGTCGCAATCTTTAAGCATAAAAGCTCAATTTAGATCTTTTCCTTGCAATAATATATTTTAACTTCTGATACATGGTAATTTAAATATTAATTTGGAGATAGCAGCCCAAATCACTACAACTACGGTAACATCTTGACTTTTCAATAACTGCATCAAGCTTTGATAAGTGACATTGTTATTTTTCATTTCATCAATAGGAAAAATAACAATGTTATAATTAATTTATTGATGTAACCGCAAGGTGAAGGCAAGTTCTGCAGCTCTGTGATATATATTAAAGGCATAAATTGAAGTAATTACGACCTTGAAACCTCTTAAACTTCCTTTGGTAATACTTAAAATGCAAAATTCTAATTCAAATCACTCTGTCAAGAAAGCAAACACACGCAAATATTTTGAGAGGCGCTTCAATCAACATTTTATTAGGATAATTTGATAAAGTTATTTTAATTTCCTTCTTAAAATTTCCTAAGACAAAACATCAATCATTTTTAACTACAGTGCTATCTCTTTTGATATAGTGACTCTCATCTAGATATGAATATAATTGATTTTTTTGACATGATAAGTTGTGAAAAGGCAATTTCAAGGGCAAATAAAATGTAATGTCAGAGTAAGAAAAAAATAATTGCATTAATTTATAAATTAAATTTTTTAAAATACAGCCCTTACTCTCTACATTAATGAAATAGAGTAATAATCACCCTAACTGGATGGGCTAACGCAATATAGTTTAACTTGTAACCTAATATAAAAGGTTAAGTTGTTTATCTCAATAGAAATATATATTAATCGATTGATCTATTTAAGTTAATTGATATACTGTATTGTAGCTAGCCCATAAAGATTAATCATCTGACCTAGGATTAATTTCCATAAATAGAATTGTAATTAAGAAATTTAGTTATACTTCAAATTATCATTAAAGTTGGACGGTAAAGTTAATAATGATAGTATTGGTAATAATAAAACCATACACTTATAGTAAGTTAAGATCAACTGTCATCTATTCTTAGCTCATCCTTTTCGAATCGACAACAATTCATAAATGATTCACTGAAATGAAAGATCTCGACATACCTATCCATGATTGTATAATCACATTACTAAGCAATATTTAAGCAACAAGTAATAATAGTGAAAGTTAATACAGCTTAGAATTATAAGTTTCATTGATTGAAGCACTACTTTTAAAGTTCTACAATTATTTTCATATATGTATTATGACAAGAATGAGAAAATATAATAATACCAAGAGAAAATAAAATAGACTTAGTTGCATGGTTATAGCATAAGAGTAACCTGCTTTATCTAAAAGATCATGTAGCATGAAGTATGCAAGAATAAAATAACTTTGCTATAATAATGATGGTGCTATTTTTAATTATCATTTTCATCATCTGACAAGAATTAAGTAAGATTGTACCGAAAAAATAATGTTATGGAAGATTAAAATAGGTATTTTTTGTAATTTATCATGTCATATTAGTAGTATAGAGTTTAGGTGCATTAATTAACAAGAATAGAATGAATTGCTGACTCGTCTTAATTGATAATCATGCGGCTATTGCTGGACAATAAATTATAGAGAATTAGGATAAAAAAAAAATAATGGACTAGAATTGTGGAGGAAGCAGCTGCATCAATGGTATACGTTGGTATTCATATAGATTGCATAAGAGAATGATAACATGAAATAATGAAGATCAGAAAATACCTATAGAAATGTTTAGTGCTGCTTTTTGAAATGAGTTAAATTCAATATAATAAGCCTTAACGTCATTTAGAAGGATACCATAACAGCAGACAAAATATACCCAATGACTAGTAAAAAATAATTTCAAATAATGGCGAAAGTTACCATAATCGGACGATGTAAATCTATTGCCAATGTGAGAAATTTGTTGTAATAATCCATAGAGCGAAATAATAACATTATCTTTGTAATTCATTTACTTGGAGAATATTGCAGCCACATCGCTCCAATCAAGAAAGGATCCATTAAAATGCCAGAAAATGAACTTGTTCAAATCTCCCTTGTACCAATATCTTTACTTATTCATAGAAGAAAAAATATGAAGATATCCAGACAATAATGAACGAAAACGATGGCAAATTTAAAAGTAACTATTCTATTAGATACCCATTGATGATTTGAAGCATCGACAAGATTTTAAAAAATGAAATAAATGAAGAGAAAAATCTTGAAGAGCTACTGGAATGTATTAGAAAGTCCAAAAGTCGATGTTTTTAATGCTATTTAAAAGTGTAAAGATATTCGCGGCGGATAGTTCCTATATGATCGGTAACTGTATCATCCAATGCTTTATAATTAATTGATTAAAGAGCATGGTATACTAATATTTGGTATAGTCATTACCAGCAAGTTAATATCCATTTAATTTGAGGGAAATTAGAATAGTTTGATAAATTCTGTATAGCATTAAACGTTATAGTTACAATGATGGAAATGGGTTTTCTATTATAATATAATAGCGATGGGGAATAAAGCTGAACACGAAGGTTAATTAATATTATCACTTTAGCAGCACCTTCATTAACAATGCTATTATTCAAATAATGAAGACAATTACTATGTAGCAGCAGTCTTATAACTCTTAAAAGGTATATCAAGACGCTCGTAGTAAACAGGCAGATAATCATCATTAAATAGCGGCTGATACTATTAGGACTACAGCACAAAGTAACATTTTCAAATCATCTTTAATAATAACAATAAGAACGGTACTTAATCAACTTATTATACTACGGCTTTGGCTACAAATAAAACGAATAAATTGAAAAAAAAAGCAATGATCATACGGTATTACGCATGCATAATGGGAAAATTGATGAGAATTTACTTATAACTAGTAGTACAAATTGGCTGGTATCGTGTCAATGGATGAGCACGATAGTGAGGATTAGCATAAAACGGATTCGAAGTAACGATGGTGTTCACGATGCTAATATAGGAATCTTGCATGGACTGTTTAAACTTTTTTCTTTTCTTATAGCGTTGATTTTGAAACCACACTTTAACTTGCTTAGGTGATAAATGAAGCTTTCTTGCTAATTGTTCACGTTCAATGGGCGACAAATAAATGTTAATTTGGAATCGATTTTGCAATACTTCTACTTGTTGTGATGAGAATAGAATTCGTCGTCGATGATGTTGTCGTGATGAAGATTCATCTTCATCTTGTTCATCTTTGATCGATGAACTGAGAAGTTCAGTAGAAGATTCTTCAAGATCATCGTTACCAATAGGAAAGTGGTCTTTTTTCATGGTATCGCTTTGATTGTTTTTCTTCTTATGAGACAATACTCGATTTTCATCTTCCTCTTGCTTCTCTATAATAAAAATAATAACAAACAACGAAAAATGAAATTACTCTATCAGTTGCTCCTTTTATGTTGGCTTTTCATAACTACTGTAATATGGTACTCGATCAATTTAATTTTACGAGGAATAAAAATATTTTATGCCTTAATAATAACTACAGTAGTAAAACTATATCAATTAGGAGTCTAACGCTATTGCTCCAGATGGTCGAGAAATGATCACAAATAAATAAAAAGAAATATATGATAAACAATACAGGTAGAATACTTGAATTGATTTGAATATTTTAACTTGTAATTTCCATAATGTTAGTCTTGATTATTTATGAAATACTACTCGTAAGGAATAACGTGATAGTACTATATTGATGCTAACTTGTAATGATGATGACACAAAGTGACACTATCAATAGGTATCCAACTGATTACAGCAATATAGTAGATTTGATCCGGTAATTGTATAATATATAATAACCATATATTAAGTCTCCACTAGCAATAATATGCAAGTCGATCAAGTGGTTAATAATCAAAGGCATACCGTGTTGCTGTAGATGACGCAATCTAGAATCTATGTTGATATCAGATCGATTGGCTACTGGCTTACTAGAATCCTCAACTTGTAGTTTGCATGAGCGTCTCAACGTAGCTGGAGGAGCATCTTGCAACGTAGCTTGCAATAAATTTTGTGAAGTTGACGAAGAAGCTGATAATATTTGCTGAGATTGACAATGTTTCTTATCCATCTTGGTTAAGGCAGACCATGGTTGGCTTTGATTTGGATTGCCAATGATGTTATCAATAAAAAATGATGAACTGTGAGTTGGATGGCCAACTGCCATATTGATCTATCTCGTAGACGGTAGAGAGGTTCTAAAAGGAAACTAGGAACGAGTGAGAATTGAAGAGCAGTAGTTATCAGATACGACCACCACCAAGCCTTATAGTTATTAATTGGATTGTTTGTATAGACTAACGAGGTAACACTATCCTAAAGTCAGTATAATGTCAGCCAAGAATAGTCAATCATACTACAGCACTCAAGTATATAACCAAGGAATACAGGAGTAGTTTACGTCCAACGATGTAACGATATGCTTTAATATAAACGTGATCCAATATGAAATCAAATGAAGGTAATCTTCATGAGCGTTCGATCATCTACAACTTGGAGACTGATTGAGTTGACGTTGAAATGCATTAGATGAGCACACTTATATATAGCTACACCGAGGAAATATCCATCATGAAGCACAAATAAATTTTGTGACGTTACTTCCTCTCCATTTTTATAATCTCTATTAAAATTCAGTACATTTAGACCTAAAGATAGCGTTACCAAGCTACATAATGACTTGAAGTAGATTAACTATTTGATGCTTAGCCGAATTGTATTACCAAGACAATAAACCATGAGTTGCATGATCATGCAATCGCGACTTGACATTTTTAGAAGCATTGTTTGTCTCTATTATTCTTTCAAGATACCAAAAGGATCAATTAATTTACAGCCTGCCCACACAGAATTACAACTGCACACATCCATTATCAATAGAGGAAATGGAACTAAAGTCGACTAGATTGTTTATAACAATTTGAACTGATAACCCCGTTTAATATAATCTGTAAACAACAAACTTAATAATCAGCCCGCGGTACTTTAGTCTCTTATTCATCTATTGAGAATATATTTTTAGCCTTCTAAAGGAGACTATTGTTCCATATTTTAATATTGTTTTCTAAATTTAGGTCCTTCCATCAACTTTTTATTTAGATCGCAACTAATTAAATCAAAACTTTAGCTTGCATTTAATAAAGAAAACCTAATATTTAAATATATAAGAAAATTGAATTATATAACATCAATCAATACATTGAACAACTAGAAACAGGTCTATTTCTAGATATTGTAATGTTGCTTTTTAAATTACACATTATTTCATTTTTTTTCCCATGTCATAATTACTTTTTTCATTATTTAAAGGTATAATTCAATTTTAACTACTTTTTTTACAATCTTTACTTATAGTACTAGTTACAATTTTTTCTTAAGGTATTGAAGTTGCTACCTATAATTATTATCAATGGAATTAAATAGTAACTGCATTGGACACTGCACAATTCTAATTTGCCTTTTCTGTAAAGTATGACCTGATCAATATTGGTGCTAAAAATACATACAGTAGAATCAATTTAAATTCTTACTAAAACATAAAATTAATTTTGTTAAAGAAACAGTTCACCGAAGTGGACTGATACGATAAATACTCAATGTAGCAGTAGAGTATTCTTCAGTATTGGATCGACCGTTTTCGCATCATAAACAAGTATTAATTACATAACTGAACGATTGCTTATTATTACTTCATTTTTAACCTAAAATATAACATAGAAAAAAGAATAGATGTCTATCATGCCAAAAATGTAGTCACGTATGTTTATCGTAATAATTTTATCAAAATATTTTTCCAAATCAGCAAAACATAACTAGATTATAAGTCTATAAATGAAATATAACGGATGCAGATTGATCAGCGATGATACAGTTAATAAAGAAGTAAAACGTGACATTGGCTACCGCAACTTGCTAATAAATAAATGCATATTGGTTATACGAAATCTTTTGTCATAAATAAAGATGCATCCAGCCGGTTGCGATAATACTGCTTGCAGCAGTAAATCAAATTATTCCATTTCTTAATGTTATGTTAATTCATCAAAACCAGCTATCAAGTTAGTGATGAATTTTCATGCCAAGGAAGGGTTACCTGTCCGACTTGGCGGGCAGTACTATTGAAAAGTTGATAATGGTTATCGATATTATCCTAGAAGTCTGATATATTCCGCCAATTCAGGAAGGATGGAAGGAAACGAGGTAGTTGTATATTTTCGTTTAGACTGATAACTTTAAAGCAATCTGTTCGTTTCCGCCGGATTTATCATAACTTTAAAAATCAAGAATTCTGATATATTTGCAACTGCTCAAACATTTTCTACTAGCCAAACTTCAAGACGGCCACGTTAACGATTTTAAAATTAAAACGGCAAAAATGGCCTAACCAATTACATAACATAAAGCTCCCATTCTAATGCAATGATCAATTCCAGAAATTGGAAGCCAAGAAATTACAACATTAATTTAAACATTTATACTTACATATTCCGCCTTTATTGACATTGTCAATATTATGTTTTAATAAAATTCTGTAATATGTCTACGAAATGAAATTCAGTATTCACATCAACAAAGACTTACGCTTAAATTATTACATATTGATGACTGTAATACTCTTATAATTTTATCTATCTGTGGTAGATTTTTAACATTTGTTAACAAAGACTAGATCATGACAAATTTTGAACATCTCTCGTAAATGACAGGTTATTAACCTGAAACAGATGGATATAACTGACAGATTTATAGCAAGTTTTGTAAACAAGTGAACCAACATCTAAAATTTAGGGGTTCAGCGGATATGTCCAACTCCTACTCTAATGATTGTGATATATCATTACTACCATAAGATCGGAAGCAGGAATAAAATGGAATTTTCTGATAATTCGATCCTTATTTTTCAGGTAATAACAAAATCTACCATTAAATTATGTTAGAAATAGTGCGGATACAAACCAAACCAAACCAAAACCAAAAGTTTAAAATATCATTCTTCATAACATGACCTCCCACATAAGACTTCGTGAATGATCGATAAAGTAATGACATACATTAGTCATAACATGATAAGATTAATTCAATCCATTAGATAGCACGGTAGATTAGATTCTAATTTGTAAATAGATCTGACATGAAATCGTTCAACAGTCTATATAGTTCGTTGTTTACATTTTAAAAAATCTCCAGGTGTTAATCCATTCCGTTTGCTTCGTGTCTCGTCCAAGATTTTGTATCACGTCGCCAATTTTATAATGTCTGTTTACGGTTGTATTGATATTTCATAACCTAGAAGAAATAACTATTACAGATTTATTAACCATGACTGAACTCTTATAAAAATGTAACTTTAAATAAGCAATCGAAGCAGTTCTTGATTAACTTCATTGTTATCAACTAGTCAGATAGTCCAACATTTTGTAGATCGACCATAGAATACGCTAACTAAACTTAAAAAACTAGTTATACATTAACTTTATCTTTCAACGTTCAACATTAGTCTGCCCATGCCAATATAACAATATGGAAAACCGCTTGAAGATCTTAAAAATGAAAGGAAAATTAAGACAATGAGGAAATGGTTCTGATTTATTTTTTCCTCATTGAATAAGCAGACTCGCCTATTGAAATTTTTTAAAATTTACAAGTTAATTATTGAGGAGGTCAATAGGATTGTCAAACAATCAAAACGAATTTTTAAAAATACTGTATTCTATTGATAATTTTGAAATAGAAGCAATAGAAATCTAGGCATAAATATAATTAGTCATCAGTGCAAGTCAAGTCTTATTATTTCTTTGAAGTATTATACAAATCAATAGATCATTAACAACTGACTCATTTTTATTAAATTAAAGTTCTAGAACTCTTCAAAAGGTAAGCTATGCAAACAACTTTTACTTTTTTTACTTTAGATGAAGGAAATACGTCGTTTGCTTATGATATACTTCACAACTAATCGTATCGTAAACCATTTTTATAGCACAAGCAGTAAGCATAAAGAAATTTTTTTCTAAAACTATACTCTAATATTGTCATATACAGAGCTTTAGGAGGTTGATATCATATACGTAGAACTCAACCTATAAATGCTTACGAATTGCGGAGTTAAATGAAAACATATTAGCATTGCGATGAATCTTTCTTCCTTGATTGAACTACAATATGTCTTAAATCTGGTCATCTGAAATTGTTAATCTCCTGTTCGATGATAGATATTAAAATGGAACGATAATATCGCAAATTCAATAACAAAACAAAGGATAGTGAAATATAATTAATAAAGTAATTTTACATGCCTGTAGACTGAATAGCAGCCACTCTTAGTAAACAACATGATAATATAAACTCTCTATATCAACACCAATCATTCAAGACTATTTCATTAGTTCAACATCAAATTTTAATTTAATTATTGTAACAGCAAGTTTAGATAATAACATTCTATAATAGTTAATAAGAACTATGATAAATTTATTGAATTTCTATACGTAACTACGAATCTTACTGTAAATTACTTTTATTAATCATTGCCTAAGACAATACCATCATTACCTACACCTACGTTCTATCGATATTTTGGATAATGATATTATTCATTTGCTAATATAAACTTTTACTCGAATTATTTCGATATCAAAAGCAATTTTGAACATTACAGCTGCTAAAAGTAGTCTAAATTAAAAGATATGTACATATTATTTCATCATTATCGCTGAAGGAATCTATTTACAAAACTCTTTTATGTAGGCTCAGAATTATGAGTTAGATATAAATCTAACACCCTCAATTCACAAATTTCAGATGACACATTAAGGTTAATTAAATTTGAAATCAACTGAAATTGAGACGGTAACAAGTCCTATAGCTTATTGCAAACTTACATGTAATTCTAATAAATAGATTATAATATTAGCCAAAAATTTTACTACGAACGCAAAGTTAATTGTTTAGCAAAATAGTGGGATAAGATCGCTTTGTGCTAAAAAATTTAAAAATAGCAAAATGTTGAATATACATCTTGATTAATTAATCGGTATTAATCACAAAAGTGCTATTGAAGATCATAATATCGAGATTATGCTATTTAATCTTATTTTCTGGTTATTTAGATAGATATGTCAATTTCATCTTTACACATATTTTATCCTGCAAAGATTAAGCAAAACATTTTATTACTTTTTAGAAATATCAAGAAAGTAGAGCGAGAGATACGTACGAGTATGTATCCGTTTGTACCCTGAAATTATACTTGAGAAAATATCAATCTAATATATTCCTGTAGGTTCATTTCTATAGTTATGTAATAAAAGTAGCATATTAAACTATAATTTATTTGGAGAAATACTTCAACCTTACTACTATTATATGTTTCCAAGACTTTCTAATTTTTAAAGTATAGGATGAAAGATCAAATGGAGAACGCATATGAAAAGCTGCATCAGAATCCCTGCGCATTAACAGCTTTCAAATATTTAGCCTTTGGCCCTTTGGATATCAACCTAGAAAATAGAAATTAACCCTTTTAACAAAACTAGGTATAGATATTTTATTAATATAACCTACAAGTTGTTAACTTGTAAATACTGGAGCTACTAATATATTTTAAAATTTTAGTGATCTAGAAAAAATTGTAACCTGTATCTCAATTATTGAGTCACTTTCATGTTCAAGCAAGTGCTACAGCTTTACTAACACAGTAGAACATGCTGCAATACAGCATACTATAACATAATCGATTTTTTTAAAACACTTAATAAATTTACTGCTAAAATATTATAGTAATAAATCTTTTGTTTAAACTATAATCGTAATAAATGCGATGTTTTTGTGTTCGATTCAACTTGTTTTCTCTGACCAGATCATATGATATTATATAGAAATTAAAATTTTATTCCTTCCTGAAAGGGAATTTTCATTTAATGACTACACTAAATTTCCCCAGATAGATTGCTTACAAGATTGAATATAGCAATCTTACCAATTTGTTATTAATTTTAATAAATATGATGTCGAACACAACAGTATATCTATGGCGAATTTCATATAGTCAGATTTTGACTATAGAGATCTGAGAGACAGCAACTGTATGAGATACAATCGTTACATGATCTAAACTCTGTAGTAGAATTAGCCAACTTTTCAAGCTAAAAATTGTACGAAAGATCCAAACAGATACTGCTGCTTCACCTAAATTACAATTTGTGCTATATCCTATGAAGATTTCTAACGTTAACTTTTGTTCTGTATAGGTACTTATAAGTAAATTAATTCTCGCCAATGTAGTATTTATTTCAATGAATTAAATTATTTTCCTTATTAAGTTACAATTTGATCATATTGGACAAGTCTCAGAGTTAATAATCAACTAGCAAAGTCTTCTCTTTGCCAAATTATAATTTATTTATAAGATGTTTACAGCGCCCAAGGATTTTAACCTTTATTGGAATTATTCACTGCACCAAGTACCATCGTATTCTATAGCTTTATTTTAACAAATTCGTTTTTGGACTATTGATATGTGAGCATATTCCTTATACATATAATTTTTGAGTATACTTCATAGGACTTAAGTTCTTTATTTTTAAATTTTTAAAATTCTTTCACAAAGTAAATAAGAAGATAATTGGCTAACACACGAGGAACTATGTAAGCAGCGTGATTTTATAGTAATATTGTTGCTAGGTCAATTTTATGGATCATTTTATTTACCAGTTGTGTACTACTTATCTGCTGAAATTTTGCAATTTCTAAAGCTCCGTTTATTTAATGTTGACAAATTTAAAGATCAGTTCAGTAAGGCTTTGTGTGTATTACTATAATTGCAAATAGTTCACTGGCTACATATTCCTCCATACGATATTGCATATTCAGTAGCCTGTAGTACAGTAATCATAAACTAGTCAAAAACTTAATTAATATTACTATGATGATTTGCATAGTGTTTATAATGTTCCGTATAGTAGACCTCAGATCTTGGCATATAAGGTTGTTATTATTATCGCAGATGACAACATTGGGCCTATGCTTTCTTAATGAAATATAAATGGATAAAACTTTAAGAAAGAACGACTTATAATTTAACTATTTCCTTCAAATACTGCATGCTATACCTTACTTCTGTACGTGAACCCATGTAGAAAACAACTTTGCCAATCATGGATAACGAAATACAGTAGAACACCATCAAGCTCTTCTGAGCCCTTCTGTGTATTTTCAGTAATTCCTTAGGCTTATAGCAGTTTCAGTCAATTATATAATAAGTATATACAACACTGACTACCTGTAAAAAGATGTACTTGGATAATAACCTATTTTACATATCTCACTTACACTCTAATACTCATTATACGTAAAATTAAATATATATTTCATCATACTGTTCTCATTTTAAGTATTTAAAATTGCTAGAAATACTATATCGAGTAGTCGATTCCATCATTTTTATTAATTTTAAATAATAAGCAGTATTAATCAGCATACAGACCATTATTCTACTGATCTAATTATATTAAAGAACACAGTTAAACTCGAACATAATGCCCCGTGTTCAAAATCATTGCAGATAAATTGAGAATTTTTTCTTATTAAAATCAAATCATTGTTAAATTAGTAAATAAACGCGAAATTTCGGATAGAATTACGATTGCACCCGTTTCTTTTGGATCATGAATTTGCAAATTTTAAATCAGTCTCAGTAAATTAAAAGACGATATCGAGGATAAAGTTACCAATAAAGATAAGAGGTTTGCCGAAATTAATGCACTCTGCAAAAGTGTCACTGACATTGCTTACCGATCAATTGATCTCACATAGATGACAATTATATCATAATCAGATAAATCAAAACTTTAAGATTAGAAATTAAAGATACTTTCTTCGTCACAAATTAGCCACTACGATTTTGAGCAGATAAATTAACAGGTAACAGTGGCTAAAAGATAACTAACATCGTCCCTAAATAGTGTTAATCATCCTGTATATAAACACCTACCAAACAAACTCAACTTCAGATTTCTCTTGAACAGTTACTCATATTATTTAGCTGATCATGAAATTAGTACAGTAACATCATTATTACAGTATAATTGTTTTCAACTTTCAATTAAGCTGCATTACTTGCAATATTTGCTAATAGACATCTTTTAAACTTACGATAAAGTAGCAGTAATTTTAACTAAAATAATCAACCTGAAATGAATATGTTCTAAGATCAGTAGGAATGATGAGGAGTGCCATCACTTTTAGATGTTAAAAACGTCTCTCCATTGTGAACAATTAATGGAATAGCCACACGTTTAGGTGATTGAGGTGACGATAAATTACTAATACAACCATCATTGCAATCGTCGTATCCATTAGCAAGGGTTCCATTATGGCTAGCTTTCTTTTGTCGCTTACATTTGTAACGATGATTCTATATTATTAAAAGATAAATGAAAGACCCGGTTAAAATAAGCATTTATTACCGCAGTGAACTAATATGGATCCTAGTTGTTGCTATACCAAGTTTAGACTTAATAAGAATAAACATGCAACATTAATATATATCAATCAATGCTTGATTAACTAATACCTGAAACCAAATTTTAACTTGAGTTGGAGTCAACTTTATCATATTTGCTAAGTGTTCCCGTTCAGGTGCCGATAGATATTTCTGCTGTCTAAATCGTTTTTCTAACTGATCTGTCTGATTTTTAGTAAATAAGATTCTTCTCTTCTTTTTTCGAATATGGGTATCGCCTTTGTCCTGACGTGGAAGAATACCGCCAGTGGGTAAACTTGTTTGTCCGAACATTTGGTTAGAAGTAGATGGTAGTAAAGACGTTGGCCATCCATTAAAAGCTATGTATCAATGAACGAGAGAAATAATACGAATATCATGAAATGAATAAAGGTTAGCTATTCCCTCAAAAAAATAACTGTCAAATGATGAAATACAACTACTTGGTTAGAAAAGTAAACAGCGGCAAGCCTACAAAACATCTTTAAAAGCATTACAGTACTGGAGTAGGAGATACCGCTTAACACTATACTGCTAGAAATGCTACCCACTATTCCAATGATATTATTGACGCTAGAATTATTTAGCAATAGGATCATCAACAATACACTACATGGAGATATCTGTAGAAATCATTTTACCGATTTGCTGAGCTCAGTTGTAATTACTGAAAAAATTGTACTGTAAATATTCAACAGTATTGAATCATTGCCTTTCTCCTTTAAAGTAGATATTTTCTATTATCATTATTATAACTATCTTTATAATCGCAGGCTCTTATTACTTAGGATGGCTTAGAAAAAGCACGAAGTATCGATCTTTGCTCCGTAGAGACACTAATTTCATCTCAAGTCGCTAAGTAAATCAATTTTGTAGTAACCTGCTGATATGAATTCTCATCGCTTTCTACTTTATATTAGTTCGATACTCTACCGTTAGCGAATCTATGTCCATTAATGTATACGAGCAAGCAAGCAATTACACTCGCTATACCAGTATATGAACTATCACAAAGTGTGAAAGTCGATTAATTATGAAATTGGGCCTTCCACTGATAATTAAAACTCGATAATCGATTCGGAATTGGAAATTTAGTTGTTACTGTCTGTAATCATAGATGACTAGACATTTTCCTTAGCGCGATGTCATGTTTGTCGATTTTAAAACTCAGTACCACGTAATGTAAATTATGTTTTTATTCTTCACAAGAAGTTGCCAAAAGAAAGCATACGGTAGATATAGTATTATCGCCTACTTATAATGCCTGAATGCCCTTGTACAATTATACAATGTCTACCTCTTCTGCTCGATCAAAATATTTGCCCAACCCGAAGCAGATGATCGTTCGCATATGATTTACAGTACTATTGATACCGGGCACCGTTTGACACAATCTAACACGACTTTTTGTCTTTTTTTATCAATAATATCCGAATAATTGCATCGTCTATATATGTTTCTACAGCTGTAAGTATCCTATTAAGTCAGACGTCAAAATTCATGACAGGTTAATTTTTTTACGGTCTAGTGGTATCGACGGCATTAAGTGACAAAATATGTTTTTAGCGTGTCTGGTTCAGCTATTTGTCGCCAATTTCCAACATCAGGCTAAGTTATGTTAGTAAATGATAATATTCAGAGTAAGATTGTTGTAAACATTTAGTGTGTAAGAAATTGACAATGGTTAAAACTGAACTTGAAAACAGCTTTAATAGTCTTTTTGCAAATCTTGTAATAATAATCTAGTTCTTTTAGGTGAATAATTAGCTTCATGGTAGTTAGCCCGAATACTTAGTCATGAAGATCATCGTAAGGCTAGATTTAAACATTGAAACATCCAGGTTATCGAAAACAGTCACGTCCTTCATTCCTAAATTTCACTAACCAAATGGAAATTAAATTGGGATTCCTCCCAAGATACTGCAATATCAAATAAAATCTTTCTAGGTTATATTTCTATAGCTTGAATCATCTAAATGATTCTTGTAATCAAGTATTCTAAATAATGGATAAGCAGAAAGCTCTTCACTATATGTATTTTATCAAAGTCATTCATCGTTTCAATCCTCAGTCCTGTATATTGGCAAAGTGATAATGAAGTGAAAATATAGTTTCTTCGGCAGAAGTACAATCTATGAGTATCCCATTCAACAATTTGTGATAAAGTGTCTTGAAATAGTATAATTAAAATTTCGAAATTTTTTATCAACTTTTACTTTAAATGTATGAATTAGTTCATCCGCCAAATTGCCAAGAAATCTCTATTATCAATCAAACTTAGTATCCTAGATCTACAGTTTATATTATAAAATATAAGAATTGCAGTAAAATGGCGATAATATACGTAAATATTTATTTATGATAAGAAATTTGGATAATCTCGAAATCTGGCTTACAACTTGAACTATTATCGTACACTATTACAAACTTTGTTTTTAAGTTATTTTAGGAGCTGCGCTACACGACCGTAATGATTTATTTTGATAAAAGCCTTAATGAACCCGTGTAGGCCAAGCTTCAAATAAAACGACCAAAGACACTACCCGCCCGGGGGTAGCTAAAAAGTGATCTTGTTGCACGATTAAAGGCTTCTCGAGTCCTCAACTTAGTGTAATCTTGTTGAAATGCAGTAAAAAAGATTTAAAAATTCGTGTAAAGTCATATAAGACTGCAGTGTTATATACCGGTACAGTAGAAGACAGTCTTCAGTAGACTACGTGACAGATGATTCATACAAAGCAGGCGATAGCAATGCCCAGTATGCTACTTGGCTAATTACTACCCTATACTCCATTGTATTCTAAGATAGAGTACGCATTTTTCTCTATTAATTTACTATCAGTAAAGAGAGAGGTTTAATAAAAGCTATTAAATAGGCAAGTAGGCGATAATATTTATAACTGATTCCTAATTAATTAGCCATGACTAATAATCACCGCGTTGTCAATTGTTGTCGTCGTGCACTATTGCGAGGCCATTATTCTGTATCCCTATCCCTCAATGTGTAATATTTCTGCATATTAGTAAATTACTTGATCGCATTATCGATAGTTATTAAGCATGAACTGACCAAAAACGACTAAGTAGTATTGACGGTCTGTAGTTTATCAAGACCAGTTGAGCACTATGCTCGTGGTAGTTCACTTGAAATTAAAAAATAACTACCATACATAGACCAGCATAGATAATGCTTTAAACTTATCATATTTTGGCAAGCTAACATTACGGCCCCATTGTAGTTGCATTTTCATAATATGAATCTATTAATTTAATATAAGAACTGCTGTACTGGTTAACGGAGTTAAGGTTATACGCTACGCAATGGCTTAATTTTTTTAAAACAATCCCTGCTTTCAGTCGAACATGAATTAGTGGTATCCGGAGTTAAATTAGTATTTTTTATGATATTGCAACGCATGAATTTGTATCGGAAAAGAATTATTCGGGAAAAATCATAAAGTAATGTATTACCAGCAGATATTTACAAAGTTAATTTACATACATTGACCCATTCCTACTCGTACTATCGCTATTCTACATCTATGATATGGCTTTCTTTCCCTCTCCATTACCTGGCAAAGAAAACTAAACTTTTAAAACTAAATAAAACGGTGAATCAATTGCTAAAAAGCCCTTCCGATTTCTAAAACAACTTGAGCTATAAGCATCGTTGAAAATCTTCCAAGTTATCCAGTAAATGTAGTAAATCAACATAACCAAGAATTAATTTCAAATTTGTTATTAACATACGTACCCGTACAATAATATTCTATATCAATTTTACATCAAAATTCATTATTTTGTATGTATGTCACAGATAGTAAAAGAAAATTTACAGGACTTGTAATAAGCACAACTTATACCTGAAGAGTCATTATATACCATTAATAGATATCAATTTTATAATAATTTTCGTACTCTATATTTAGCCCTCAAACTGCGTCGAGATCGGTAAACTAGTTATTCGCTTTTCTTTCAATCAATCTGTCTCAAATATAATTTGTAGTCTAATTTTAAGTTACGTCATTGTAGGTACAACCTATTGTGGTATTTGTTATTCTAATTGAAACACAGCAGTTTCAATAATAAGGAGAAAAGGAAGTCATGTACCAAATTGACTGATTAGCGTAATAGACTTAGGTTATTAGACAAAAAAATATCCGCTCCAGGACAAAGAAAGCGATTATAAATCAATATTGTTTTAGGCAAGCAAATGGACGCTCAAATTGAGCTTATCATAGTTAATAGCTCACCTTTTAATTGGCTGATTGTTCAATTATTAGTAAACATATTAATAATTAATGCATCTCAAAGATCGAATTTATAGGAAAGGACTGTTTACAGCATCATATTAATAAAGTTGCAGGAAAAGCAGTATGGTAACAGTAAAATTTTTGTCTTGCTAAACTCAATTCTCACTTTGATCATTGTCGGATATTAATCATGAAATCAAGTTTAAGGAAATTAATTTATGAATTAATATGTAACAAGAGTCTAATTAATTATCGTCAGGAAAGAAAATTAGCAATACAGCAACGGAATATTAATTTGCAGTATTAATTATTATAAAGCGCTAAACTATCATTACAACAAAAATAATGGAACTTTATCCTAAATTAGCTACCGTATCATCCTTTGTAATGTAATTTTAAATCCAACTAGTAATCCCTTATGTTAGCAAATCCTGGAGGAAATTCTACATCTGTAATATTTCAATGATTTATCAGTATTGCAATTAATACTTATTGCCATTTAGCATTACTTTTAGCAGTAAATTACTTTAACATATGAATTATACCAAACATTTTGGAAAAGATCGATTAAATCTTCACTTAAGATGTTTAGTAAGTTAGTATGTTTTATATACCATTCGCCAATATGCGAGTTCACTAGACAAATAGTGATAAAGTGCCAAAATCAATTCTATTATTGTCTTCAAACTAAATAGGCTCAAATTATCTTTCTATTTAATTCATCACGTAAACGACTAAAATCCTGAAATGGGTCTACCAATTATTAAATGAATAACTAAACAAAAAATTAATGAACCGTTGCCAGGATTAGCAGCATCCGGCGAAGTGAAGAAACAAAGCAATTCCCTAATCAATAAAATGCTGACAATCGAATCTCTCTATCGCCTTATATAGACTCTGTAAACCATCAAAAATATGTCTGCAGGTAATGATACCGATGTTATCGGTTTAAAGGAGCATTGATGCATT